ACTATAAGTTTTACAGGCACCAAAACGCATAGCCATCATTTGGCACAGGGGCTTTACAGATATAAATTACAATGGCAGCTCTAGGACAAAGTATGCAGGAGAAGCATGGCAAAGTTGAGATGACTTGGATGGGAAACGAATCACAATAGTGTGCATTGCATTGGCAATGCACACTGATAAATTTTTTTGCAGATGTTGTACAGGTTTATATGCCTTTTAATGGGGAAAAATAAGGATGAGTCTTTATTAGACTGTTTAGGTGAAGTGAGAACATGGATGGACTCRAACTTTCTCCATTTGAATGAAAATAAAACCCGTAATTTTATTTGGACAGAAAAATACTTTTAAGTGACCCTGATGCAATCCTTGGATCTTTATCTCCATTTTATCAGACAGCTGTTAGAATTCTTGGTGTTGTCTTTGACAGCTGTTTGAAACTGGATTAGCAAGTGAATTCAGTTGTCAAAACAGACTTTTTTTATTTACATCTTTTAGCCAAAGTGAAGAACTATTTTTGTTTTAGAAATTTTGAGAAAATTATTTATGCTTTTATCACAACACATTTGGACTACTGTAATTCATTGTACAAGGGCATAGATCAGTCCTCCTTACGTCGTCTCCAATTGATTCAAAATGTGATTAATATGGATTTTTGGCAAAAATTARGCTACGATTTAATGCTCGTCATACAGGTCAGTGTCTGAAGAGTTGACATGTGGACTCTGGTCAYGGGCTGGTTGGAGCAGCGCTGCATGTGGAGAGGTGCAGCAGCTGTGGTCAAACTGGCCTCTCAGCCCTCRCTTTAAAACCAGTCAGCTGATCTGTGGCGGTTTTGTTGTGCTCTTGAACACAGTGTTACAGGAAAAATGCTGCGAGGTGATTTTAGAAATATAATATATATAAAATACGATGTAATCCTCGGTGGAAAATAATCCAGGAAACGCTGAGGGTTTTTCTGGGAGGTGTTCACCTGAGCTGAGGGAAACTGACACCCCCCCACCACCACCACCACCACCCAAAGAGAGAAAAAGGCAGCGCGACCCGCCCTGCTTTGTTCTGATTGGGTAAAACTTTGACTCTGGTTCTCTTTATTGGGTGAAAGAACCGTCAAGTTTAATCCCTAGACCAGAGATTTTTAACCTATGGGCCGCGGCCGAGCGCCACCTTGAGGGCCTCARAAGAACAACAGTTTTTAACTTTGGGCCGCAGAGGGCCGTGGGACCTCATTGATTTTGAATAAGTTGCAATACAGTTTCTCACCACTAGTTGCAGTAGTGTACCACTGAGATGTTTAACAACTTTTTTGATATGTAGAAGAAGAACCTTAGAAACCTGCCGAAAATGGAAACATACACTCACCGGCCGCTTTACTAGGTACACCTGTCCAAACGCTCGTTAACACTTAATTTCTAATCAGCCAATCACATGG